TCAGCCCCTTACTAAATGATGTACAGATTTTATAATTTTATTTGAAAAATGAGGATAATAACTGCCTTGAAAGGGCCTTTATGAGAGTCAAGATAATGCATATTAAATGCCTAGCACAGTGCCTGTTAGTGTTATATAAAACCTACTTAGGAACTTTAGGGGAGGCAATAGCAGTAAACAAGTGGAAGCATTGAATCAGCCTTTATTTTGGACTTCTGTGAACTTTGTATTAGGTTGTGATCACATGTTCCATCCAACTGAGCTGTACTCAAGTTTGGTCATGTGAGGTTAGGGAAATATATAAATAGCCAGTCCAAACAGAAAAATTCCACATCTCAAGTCAACCATATTTTCTACTTAAGTAGAGAAAGATAATAATCAAATTTTTGATAAAGAATAAGAAAGTGGGATACCCAGGAAGTGGGGGGCCCAACCACATTCCTTTGTGTCTGCATCTGCCTGTGCACTGGAAGCATTTTCTACAGCAACACCTCGACCTCCTCCACATCCTTGACCTCTGTGTGGGGTCATCTGGGGTGTCAGGATCCGACGAGCCAGGCCCAGGCCGCCGTGCAGCATGCCCGAATGCTGCTCCAGCAGCCTCTCCTGCTGCCATGTCGTTTTGGAGGTGCTGCAGGTGGCAGAGCAGTGCCGGTGCACCCCTGGGGTAGCCATTTAAAAATACTAAATTTTAAATTAAAAAAAAAGTGAACAAGATATGGAAGGGATCAGGATTCAAGGTCTATTTCTGATTTTTGGTACATGGAATATCCTATTATGCAGTTAATAAATGATGTTGACAGAGTCTCACAATAGGGAAATGCTTATTTTTTTTTTAGATCAGGAGAGTATATGGTCATGATTTTGTTAGAAATGTGTAGGAATTTACCAAAGTGGGTGGAATTTGGGGTGTTTTTCCTTCTACTCTAGTATATATTTTTCAGTATTTCATAATTAAAAAAATACTTAAATTTTTTTTAAAGTGTCCCTGTTACCTTGACTGTAACCTCTTTAAGAAAGCCTTTCTGGTTACTGAAGATTCATTTATGTCTTCATAACTAAAACCATTAAAGATAAAGTTTTCTTTTTAAGTTAAGCTGGCTTTATTTTTTTTTTAAGATTTATTTATTTATTAGAGAGAGAGGGCATGTGCATGCAAGCTGGGGGAGGGGCAAAGGGAGAGAGAGAGAAAGAAGCACACCCCCTGCTGGGTGCATAGCCTGGTGTGGGGCTCCATCTCACCACCCTGAGATCATGACCTGAGCCAGAATCTGGAGTTGGGGGCTTACCCTGCTGAGTCACCTAGGCATTCCTCTGCTTAATTTTTTTTTAAAGATTTTATTTATTTATTTGACAGAGAGAGAGAGAGCACACAAGCAGGGGGAGCAGTGGGCAGAGGGAGAGGGAGAAGCTGGCTCCCCGAGGAGCAGGGAGCCCGATGCAGGACTCGATCCCAGGACCCAGGGATCATGACCTGAACTGAAGGCATTTGCTTAACCCAGGCACCCCTCCTCTGCTTAATAACATGGAGTAATTTTTAATGTTTTTCTGTGATCCTTGATACATCACAGAGTTGCATAGTGAGTTGGGTTTTTTTCTTTTGTATTTCCAATACTTAGGTTCAAAGGACGTTAGAAGTATTTTTCATATTTAGAAACATTCATCCTAACCATAGTTTTCTTGCTGTCAAGAAAATTATAGTGTACATTTCCAAAGATGTTTATGACCAAACATTCAATAATGTGATTTTGGAAGACATGTCAAGTGAACAGAAAACGAATTACTTGGTGAGCCACAGATGGTTGTTATTCATCATTATTAACACATGGAAATTCATAGCTTTCTATTTTTTCTTGACTTAACAATAGTCATAAAGCAAATGCTTTCCATATAATTTTGCTCTCTTGATCTGCAGTGAGGTTTTTGAGATCCTAAACACCATATATTAAATTTGCCTGGAATTTTCTCCTGGAAAATGAGAAGTTAAGTGTGTGTTTGAAAATTGAAAAGGCACAAACAAATCCTGACTAAAAGGTTGGTTTGAGGATCTCATTTTGCTTATTTTTCAATCTCCTGAAAAGAATGCTGACATGAGCTATCAAGAGTAGAGATCTGATATATTTTTAGACTTTACTCTGTAAATGTCTTAATTTATGTGATTAAGTTTGTTTTATTAGGACAAAGATTTTTCTTTCAATCTTTTCTGTAGTAACATGGAAAGAAAGAAAAATATTAGTTGGCATATTATTACTTTGGCATTCAACCAGTTTTCACAGTAATTTTTACCAAGAAAATCTTTGCCTGGATTTTTATTGTTTTAATAGTGCAGTAACAAAGCTTATCTTCAAGTTATTTCCCTGATGTCTTGGCTTCCTGTAGCTTCTCCCTTTATATCTTATCAGTAAGTTATAAATCATTAAGCATATTACTAGAGTACATTATTCCATCATACTGACATGTAAAAGTACAGGCATCTATTAAGAGGGTGTGAAATAGATTTAATCTTGAGGGCTACATAATCCAGGCAAGTTGAAGCAACTTTTAAATAGTCTTAGTTTTAACTTTCCATTAGTTCTCAGTAATCTTAAGTTATCACCACCCTTTCATTCCAATTTTAAAACACCTTCCAGATCCCTGACAGTAAAAAGGCATAATGAATGCTTTAATGACTCAGACTGGAAGCCGCCATTACACTGACGTTCATTTTCAAATTATTTAATGTGATATACAGTCATTCATTTAATAAGCTATTATTTGGAAGCTTCTATAGATAGAAAAGGAGAGAGATATTCTTTTTTTTTTTTAAAGATTTTATTTAATTATTTGAGAGAGAGAGAATGAGAGACAGAGAGCATGAGAGGGAAGAGGGTCAGAGGGAGAAGCAGACTCCCCGCTGGGCAGGGAGCCCGATATGGGACTTGATCCCGGGACTCCAGGATCATGACCTGAGCCGAAGGCCGTCGCCTAACCAACTGAACCACCCAGGCGCCCGAGAGATATTCTTTGAATAAATTTATTTTCTAATTTGCTTCTCCTGAGCTAAATAGATAATGTAAATACAAGCAACTAAGAGAGTAAAAGTTTATTTTCTATGTATAATGTAAATTAAAATTTAAAAGAAGCTTTATTTCTTGTGACTTTAGTGGCAACCTTAAAGCTAAAAAACAGTAAGTATCAATATCCTTGACTCTGGTGGTGTTTTTAAAACACGTATACTCAAAAAATGTTCTCTCATTCCAAAGATAGAGAAACAAGTCACAAAGTATATCTTTGGCAACTCTGATTTTCTAGGTTTCCAAGTAAATTTGAGCTTGTCTAAATTAAGCATCACCAGTTCTATGATGAAGCATCTGTACTTCTCAGCAAGTCCCTGCCCTCTTCTAGTCCCTCTCTTTCTATGAGACCTAGCAAAGTTACCTAAGGTCTACAGTACATGAATTCAGCCTGACTAGACAGAGTTCCAAAGTACTAAAATATTGCCGCATGGGGCGCCTGGGTGCCTCAGTTGTTAAGTGTCTGCCTTCGGCTCTGGTCATGTTCCCAGGGTCCTGGGATCCAGCCCCGCATCGGGCTCCCTGCTCCACGGGAAGCCTGCTTCTCCTTCTCCCACTCCCCCTGCTTGTGTTCCTTCTCTCCCTGTCTCTCTCTGTCAAATAAATAAACAAAATCTTAAAAAATAAATAAAATATTGCCGCTTGCATATATCATCAGGTTACAGGTATACGCTAACATGAAACTCATGAGTTAGTTAGAAAATAGCACAAGTGTTGATTCTCGAAAGTGCTGTGAAATAGCTAAGGGACTTTTGGAGAAGAAGAAACAAGGAATTAAATATCAGTGTTGCAGAATATCATGTCATACTAGAATGATGGAATGACTCCAGTAGTCTAGAAATGTAACAAGATAAACAATAGGGATAAATATTATGTGCCATGTTTAAGTTTTTAGAAATGTATATGGTATCTCATAACCCAGGGAAAGCTGAGTAAGCAATGGTGGCTACAGAATTTCTCTTTAAGTTGGCTTTGTTTAGGAGTGGCTGTCTGGTGGAAAGGACTAAAGGAGTTACCTTGAAACCTCATTTAGGAAGCAAAGTTTAGTGGCTTAAAACAATAACCATTTATTTAGCTCTTGTTTCTGTGGGTTGGCAGTCTGGGCCTATATCAACTGTATGGTTTTTCTAGGCTCATTCTGTGTCTGTTGTCAGCTGCTGGTTGGTTGGAGGCTGGAGGAGATACCATAGCTTCAAGTGGACCAACGTGCCCATGTGTCCTTCTCCCAGTTACCCATGGCATATGGGAGAAGTTCAGAGAGGAAGAGGAGGGAGAGCACTCAATGCTGTGGAGACCCAGACTCAGAACTGACATGGTGTCACTTCCACCACATTCTGCTGATTAAAGCTGTTCTGAAAATAGACACCGTCCCTTGATCAAAAGAGCTGCTGTTACATTGCAAAGAGGGTGGGTGGACACAGGGAGGGAATAATTGCTCCCTTCTTTTAAATAGTCTACCACACCAAGCACACTGATTTAATATGTTGTAGGTCAATATAAAGAGCAGTTTTTGAAAGATGCTTTTATTCATACTCCACATATTGAGAAACCACAGCTCCCACTACAAGCTGGCTATTCATTTAATTTGGACAATGAATTTAATAGCTGAAAAGCAGGTTTTATGCTTGTACTGAACTATTTTTCAAGGTAGTTTAGGGGGTAAAGAGTTATGGGTTATAAAGTAAAATGTTTTCTCTGTTTCAAAATAAGATAAAAGCATCCAAAATAGATCACTGAATGCATCCAAAAGAAAATATAAATCTGCTTGACGTTGTAGATATTTGTGTTCCTACAAACAATTAATTCCTACAAATGTTAATGATCTTAAAAAAAACTGTGAAGAGTAGGTTGCTATAAATGCAAATATGGGGGCTTTGCTGTAAAAAACTAACAATTTTAAACATAGGTGTTTGAAATTTTAAGTTTGAACATCTGTCTTGTTTCTAGGAGCTCTGCCAGTGCCGACCTGGAGAAGGAAATTGTTCCTGCTGCAAGGAGTGTATGTTGTGTCTTGGGACCCTTTGGGATGAGTGCTGTGATTGTGTTGGTAAGTTGACATGCAGGAAAGTTTCATATTTATCACAGAATCTTTGACTTTAAGAGACTTTAAGGAATATAACTGGGATGCCTGGGTGGCTCAGTCAGTTAAGTGTCTGCCTTTGGCTCAGGTCATGATCCCAGGGTCCTGGGATTGAGTCCCACATCGGGCTCCTTGCTCGGCGGGGAGCCTGCTTCTCCCTCTCTCTGCCACTCCCCCTGCTTGTACTGTCACTCTCTCTCTCTCTCTCTAGCAAATAAATAAAATAAAATCTTAAAAAAAAAAAGAATATAACTGTATTTTATGTGTATAGACTAGTGTGGATATAGATGTAGTAGGTGCATAGAACATTATTGCATTTGCTTGGATTGAATGATATTTACATATATGTGCAGTTTTATTTTTATAGAAAAGGTCTGGAAGGAAATTCAAAGTGCTTATTCTAGGGAAGTAGGAATGGAGGAACAATGGGAATATTTTTACTTTTTATTTTTAATATTTCATACTGTTGAATTTTTAATAAGAAGCATGTGTTATAGTTCCAAATAAAAATAAATACTTCGTATATTTAAAATAGATTATCTTCCTTTTATGTAAGACTTCACTATGAGGTGCCTGGGTGGCTCAATTGTTTGTGCTCAACTCTTGATTTTGTCTTGAGTCTTGGTATCAGGGTCGTGAGATTGAGAGCCCTTGTTGGGCTGCATGCTGGGCTGCAGACTGTTTGGGATTCTCTCTCTTTGTCCCTCTCCCACTGCCCCTCCCCACCTCAAAAAAAAAAAGACTTCACTAAGAGATCCTTGAGAAATTAAAAGCTTTTTTTTTTTTTAAACTAGAAGTTATTTTTAAGTGCTTTCTGAGGAATAGTGTCTAAGATGTAGTAAGTGAAAAAAGAGGATGGGGGTGCCTGGGTGGCTCAGTTGGTTAAGTGACTGCCTTTGGCTCAGGTCATGATCCTGGAGTCCTGGGATCGAGTCTTGCATTGGGCTCCCTGCTGAGCAGGGAGTCTGCTTCTCCCTCTGACCCTCTCATGCTCTCTCTCTCTATCTCATTCTCTCTCTCTCAAATATATAAATAAAATCTTTAAAAAAAAAGGGACACCTGGGTGGCTCAGTCGATTGGGCTTCCAACTCTTGATTTCAGCTCAGGTCATGATCTCAGAGTCATGGGATCTCATGGGATCAAGGCCCCCTTTGGGCTCCGCTCTCAATAGGGAGTCTGTTTGAGATTCTCTCCATCTCCTTCTCCCTCGGCCCCTCCCCCCACTTGTGTTCTTTCTCTCAGTCTCTCTAAAATAAATAAATCTTTTTTTTAAAAAAAAGCAAGGTGTGCAAAAGTGTGTTTATGGAATGTTATCACTTGTGTTTTCAAAAGAAAATTTACATGTGTGGACTGCTGATGGGAGAAACTCCTCATCCTCTCTCCAACCAGTTAACCCTTTTTCATCCTCTAAAACCACAGTTCAAATGTCCCCTTGTCTCCCAAACATCTCTTTTGACTGAGGATCCTCTACATTATTCAGATTGTCTGCTTCTGTTAAGTCATGTACTGCATGCTACTATAATTGTTTTTAATGTTTCTTCCAACAGACTATAAACTCCTTAAGGACAGGATGGTGTCATTTTGATCTTTTAAAATTAACCACTATCTTTATCAGAGTGGGGTATATGTACATACTTGGAGTACGTGCACGTTGTACTAAAACAACCCCCTGGCTTGCTTGTTCCCAACCCTTTGGTCCTGTGTCAGAAACAACTTCTAGCTCTTTGGTATTGTCTTACTTCCATAATTTTAAATAGTATCTTTATTCTGTTCTCTCGATTCTTTGATTTTAGAAACTATTCATTGACTTCTTATTATGGCAGATGATGACTTAGCTTTCTTATCTCTTATCTTCCCAATATAGTTATCACTACTTCTAGTTAAATCAGTAATTACTTTAGCAATCCATTGAATAAATTAGTGTTACATATTAGTTTGATGCATTATATATAAACACTAGTTTATTAAATGAATAATACTATTATGTCTTCTTATATTGGAGTATACTTCCTGAAAGATTTCTTAATCTTCTAAACTTTGTATTAGTGTTTAAAATTTTGGCTTTCATTTTTAATTTCCAAGACCCTTTCTCTGCTTGTCCTTTTTGGGGAGCATACTGTTCTTGTTTTATAGATATTTTTCTTATCTTCCTGGGACTGTTAATTATGGAGCTCAGCTGTGGTTGCAGTTTTTCCTTCTGCTCTTTGCACTGTTTCTCTTTCCTCAATTGTCTGCTGATCCGTGGACATCTATTGATATATAAAAGACACTCTGATGCTAATTGGGAGCCCTGGGTTCACAGACAGGGCATGGAATCTAGTTTGCATCACTGTCTGATGGTTGCAGACTTTTTCACTGACTCATAGTTTTTTACATATGTTTAGTGTTTTAATCAGTTGCTGTCATTTTTCTTTTTGCTCAAATTTTCTCATCTTTGGTTAGTAGGAACCTCTTCAGCTTAGTGCTTGAGTCCTTTTGACATCGCTTCTGTTCTCTTTGTTAGCTTTAGAAGCTGTCCAAGGCTCATCTTGTATATCTTACGTATGTAATTAGCCATTTCCCTGGGGGACTTTGGTTCCCAATAGAAGAAAATGGTGGGTAGAGAGACCACAGTCTTGCCATGAGGACTACTTGTTGCTACTACTAGCTTTCTTCTAATCCTTTCTAATGGGCAGAGCTAATAAATACAAGGGAAAAAACTTGAGTTTGTAGTAATATTGCCAATTCAAATTTAAGATGACAAGGTCTTTACTCCTTTTGATTTTACATCTGTAACTCATGCTGAAATTTTGGTTTCTAACAACATTAATATAATTACTTATATGCTTTATTTATAATACATCATGAGAGTATTAAGTGGCAGTTAAGATTGTCCTTGTATATGTATTGAAGATGTAAAGCCCAAATACTATCTTTCGAAGTCAGTTGGAGTATTTTCTGCGAGTGGTATGTGACCAACTTGATATAAAGTTAGGTTCATTTATGTTAGTTTTCAGTTTTTAGGGATTGTTTATTTCCTTTCTGATTTATTTTTGTGTTTTGATTATGTAAAATATTTACATAATTAGAAAGATAAATGTATGTGACAGTGGTAAAGCAGCTCATATCCATCTCTGTCACTTCCACTCTGTTCCTTCCCTCAGCTATAGATAAGGTGACCACATAACTTATTGTCCAAACTAAGACATTTTTGAGAGTTAAACCAGTACGATAAACCTGAACCTGAATTGGCTTAAGGAAACTGGGATGAATGGTTTCATCCTACCTATAGCATTGTTTAAAACTTTTGTAGGCATTTATATTTATTAAAAAACAACAACAACAACATTCATTTGTTACATGAAACATTATGCTTCATTTTTTTCTTTCTTGTTTTTGTATTTTCATTTAATTGAATGTCCTGGAACTTCTTCCGTATTAATTTTTTTTTGGTACCTACGTAGAACCCCATTGTTGGCTAAAACACTTTATGTATTCATTTGTTGATAGATGGACATTTGGGTTATTTCCAATCTTTTACCATTACAAATAACAGTATAATGAATAATCTTGTGTAGTCAATTCTATGTAATATTGCTAGATATTACCCATTTCTCCTCCAAAAGAGTCATAATATTTGCATTCTCACCAAGGCAATGTTTCCCCACAACACTTCCAAAAAATTATGTTGCCAAACTTTTGTTGCTATTGTTTACCAAAGTTTTGGGTTTTTGTTAATTTGATAGGGAAATGGTATAGTTTAAATTTTCATTTCTCTTACTACCAGTGAGGTTGAGCATCTGTTCATATGTTTAAGGACTGTTTATATTTACTTTTTTGTGAATTGTTCATATCTATGCCCATTTTTCTACTGGATTATTAGTTTTTTATGTACTATTTAGAAGTTTAAAAATATGTTAGGTATAATAACCCCAACATTTATGTTATAAATTATAATTTTGTTTCCCAGTTGCTCATTTGTTATTTTTAACCTTTTTTGTTTTTAAGATTTTATTTATTTATTTGAGAAGGGCAGAGAGAGAGCATGAGCAGGGGAAGGGAAAATCAGACTCCCCGCTGATCAGGGAGCCCGACACAGGGCTTGATCCCATGACCCCAAGACCATGACCTGAGCTGAAGGCAGACACTCAAAGGACTGAGCCACCTAGGCTCCCCTTCTTTGGTATTTTTTTATCCTGAATAGTTTTTTTTTTTAATTTTATATAGTCAACTTTATCAGTGCTTTCTTTCATTGTTTCTAGATTTTGAGTCATAGTCGGGTTTTCCCCCTAGTCCCAGATAGTACTTGTATGGTTTCATTTGTTTATTTATCTACATATAACTCTCATACATTTGGAATTCATCCTGATTTATGTATGAACTATGGATCCAATTTTTTCTTTTTCACACAATTACCACTATTCATTTAAATATTACTTATAAAGTCATAAAGCTATTTATTTAAAAGTCTTTCTTTCACTGATTTGGGATGCCATCATTATCATATGTACTTTGCTTTATTTCTGGGTTTTCTGTGCTATGCTGTTGGTGGTCTCTGTGTTCATGCATCAAAACCACACTTTTATTTATAGAAGGCTTATAAATGTTTTAATATCTAGAAAGGCTAGGCATCCATCCATTGCTCTTCTGGCCACAGTATATTAATTTCAAGCATACATACATACATACTAGAGTTAATAAGAGGATTATTTTCTTCCCTTTAGGTTTGCATGTGCTCTTTGTAAAAGACTTTCCAAACAGGCTTAGCTTTTGAAAACTGATTCTCCAAAAATTTATTAATATATTAGGCTGCCCTTTTCCCCCCTGAGATTTTCTGCCCTAAAGTGCAGAAACAGACCATTGAAAATATTGTTTTTGTGTAAATGAAATGCTCAATTTTGTATTTTGGGGATTAGCCTGCAATTTTAGAATAATGTGCAATGGAAACAAGTGGGCCTAAAAACTGAAAAGGAGCCACTGGCCAGAAT